TTCGATGGGCTGAAATGCACAAAACGCATGATCGCACCGGCTAGTCTGGTGCGCGTTGCCATTTATCTCACTTGCTTCTTACATCCCCGTCCAGTTTGCGGCATCTCTGACTGCAAATGAGCAGGGTGATCTAGTACAGTTTTGCGATGAAAACACTACCTCTGGTGTATTTCTCGGGAGTGATCTCAGTATGCCATTCATCTCGAATATCGCTAACTACATACTGCAATGATTCTTTCATTGCCCGCGCGAATTTCTTCTTGATCTCACTCTTGCTCATGTGTTCCATGTTTCCCGATACTGCCGACAGCTGAAATTCAAAAGTGCAGTAAAATACCAGCTACTTCTCAGTCAAAATGCGAAGTAGGAAACAAACAATGTAGTCGCGGGACACCTCACTGTAAATCTCTGCGCCAGAAATGCTCAGGTTTGACAATAATTGTAAATCTGCTCAGAATGGATCAAGAATGCGCCTGGTACCTTCTGCAAGCCTTTCGGAGTTGCCCTCGCGGCCCTGATGGGAGTGCTTTGCTGCTGCGGTGAAAAGAAATCCGACATTTTCCTTGCTAGGAAGTGCTCGGATGCCATAATCTGAAAACGATGAATGTAACTTGAGCGGATTCAAAACTACCTGTAATTTCAAATGTAAAACACCCAGGATTCAAAACAAATGGGAGCGATTCCAAAATGCACGAACAAGCGACCAGCACAATCAACAATGATCCACCATTTAAATGCACATTTGCAAGGCAGCATTGGTCTATAGAAGCAATTTACCCGCCGGTGAGAAGATCAGTCAAGATGTTTTATTTCTGTAGTCAAATATACTCTGTTCGAGGTTCAGATAATTGATACTACTGGAAGAAGTTGCGAAAGCCATGAATGAAATTCAGGAGTGGCGGCACAGAACCTAATTTTTGTTGATGCAACGCTGCTGACGGCTTCGCAAGTATTAGTTGCGACGAACAAATTTGCTCATCGATGCATGGTTATGAAATCATTTTTGCATACACAGCGACATTTTACACGTTAATGAAGTAGCTTTTTGGTCATTATGTTCTGTGAATGGAAAAAATAAATCGTGGATCAAATGATGTATCCCTTTATCGATGAAAAAAAAAAAAAAATCCGCGAAATTTGTTTTTTTGCAAACAAAATTAACAAAAATGACCTTTTTTCGTTATTTATTTGGAATGAGCATTTTAGGCTAGGTCTCTTTTATTGCAGCACAAATTTGCAAGTGATTTTTGTCGGCCGTAAGGCTCGTTTTTAAATTATTCCAGCTGATATTCCCGTCTAAATATGTAGTGCATTTTCGGCCAACTTGAATAATTTTAGAAGCTTTTTATGCACGTGCCATGCCTTCTGAAGTGAAGTGCTAATAGTGGGAGGGATCGACACGTGCTGGAAGAGACAGTGGTGTTACTGCGATATGCTTCATTAATTTATCAGTAGTAGTCAATATGCCAGGGCTATCATAACTACGTTCTTCCAACAAATGAAGCTCTGTAGCGCGTTGGCTCTCCGTTTCTTCTGAATTTCTTTTATCGGGCTCCTGCATCATTTTTAGTTCCCTGTCGCGCAGTATTAAATATCGCCATGCCTTCAGGCGTTTTGAAGTATTTCCAGTTCCTATAAAATGCTGAATGATTAAATGTGAAATGAAACAAACAACCGCAGGAAACACGTGAACGATTTAAACCATATCATGCATATGTGAGCAAGCTGTGGCTGTATATCAAGCTGCATGCATTTTAGAGATTTCATAAAAATCCGGGCTTCATCAAATTCATTCAACGACGACTTGTTTTGCTTAATTCGCATAGTTTGATAAAAACGATTTTTAATTCATAAGTTCATTTTTTTTCGAATCGCATTAGCCCAAATTTTAAACTGAGGGCAAAGATCAAAAACGAGAAAAAAGTATACGATAAATTCCAGCCTCAAGAGTTATGCACACTTGGGGGTTATATTTCAAAATTTAGTATGCATATAAGTATATGTGCATACTTATGCATATTGCCCGCATAATGCAGCAGTTAAACCAATATATATATATGCATATATATGTATAATTATAAATAAACTGACTGAGTTTCGTAAGGCACTTTTTCAACAGTCATATAAAACGCAAAAAAAAGAATGAATATACTTGACTGTTTCACGTCACCTCCGTGTTGCTTATTCTTATCCAACGTGTTTTTAGTGTCGCTCTCCTGCTCTTCCGTATTTTTGGGAATACGCATTGCCTGTTGATACTGCTCAATACTGAATGGTATCGGCGACGGCTGCGGTTGCATGAAAAACGAAGAAAATGGCGGAGTACGTGTAGCAATTTCATCGAAGGGATTGTGCACATTTTCGGAGCTTTCCACAGCTGAAGGACGCAAAGTATGCAATTGCTGTTACTGAGAAATGATTTCTGACCGAAGAAATTAGCACACACTTTGGAAAAACTATGGATACCATGCGCTTTTGCGCAAATGGAAAACTTTAAAATTGAGTGATGATTGTAGCTTCGAGATCTATACTTTTCTGGATCTGATCTTTGACCATTTTAGCACTGCCGTTAGCATTTGCAAATTGAATCAATAATGTTTTAAAGCGAAAATGGCGCACTGGGAATTAGGCCAAC